AACGTTCCGATCCCACCTTCACTGACGCACCCGAACCGACCGAGACGCGTACATAATATAAATATTCATATCCTGCTGATTATTAGCCAATCAGAGAGTTCCGTTCAATTTTGGTTGCAACTCCACGTACTTGTGCACAAAAGGCTTGCAGATTAATCAAGTCGGTAATTGGAATCTACGCACATTTCGCCGAGGTTGCACTGAACGTTCCCGGATGGTATTATAATATATATGCTACACGCAGCCCCTGGACGATACTGCGCCAGTGCCGATGCTGTTGGTACGGTATGATACGCGGTGGCGCTCTGTGAAGCGGACTAATCCCAGCCGTATTACCCACTTGAATTCAAGTCTCTTAAAAAAAGGCACTCGTTAAAAAAAAAAAAGCCGTGTGTGGGGAGGGGACGACTGCGGGCGACGACTTTTGATAGGGGGGGGGGGGGGACTAGACAAATGAATTTAGGGAATATGAGCTGCCCACAAGGCGAGTTTTATGATAAAGGTCGATACCCTGTCTCATTCCAATCCTAGATAAAGTATGTATTCATTCAGGCAGGGTGACTTAATTTAACACTGGCTGTTGGCCTGCACAGACATATTTTATAAACATTGTATACTCACTGCTGTCCTGAGAAAGTGTTTAAAACAATCACACACATTTGAATTCCACATGTGGGATAAGCTTTTCGATTTCGTTTCACAACAACGAGCACATAGGCTACAGTGTGTATGAAATACGTCAGTGAAGGATAACCCCGATGTTAAAAGGAATATACAACATTTGCAAACATCGAGAAACAAAACAATCAAATTTTTACGAAGTACCTTACTAGGATGTTTGTAAATGAAAGTCTAAAGCATCTTGTAAAATTATGGCACCTGGTGTTAAGTCATTTTCAAGAAAAGTGGTATTTATGGTTAAATTTTTGGCCGACCACCGTTGGAAAACCTAACTATTTTTGAACTACTGCTCCAAATTTACCATTTTTTGTTCAGTCTAAATTTTGTTTGCTAATGGTTCCATGTCCCCTTTCTATACTTTTTTGTCTAACTCGAAAACTACTGGGCACATTTTGCTCAAATAACAATCAATCAGTACATAAATTCCTTAACAAAAAGCCATACTCTTTATTTGACCCAAAACAGTGAAAATGAGTACGAATTTATGCAATTTATGACAAATAATACCGCAAACAGTTGCACTTTTGTACATGTGCAAGTTGTGCATGTGGTCCACCCTCACTTTGCACGTATACAGAAATGCACCTTTTTTCGGTACCATTTGTCATAAATTGCATAATTGTTGTAAAGATTATCACTGTTTTGGGAAAAACAATGATGTTCGCAGTAGTTATTGGGTTGGACAAACAAGTATTTTAATAGGCAAAAAAACAAAATACTCGGATTCTGATCAGACCAAATTTCCGGAATTGATGCGGCGACCGCGGAACATTTTGGAGAAAAAAAGATTGACGCGCATGATTAAAATCAACGCGCGCTGACCAGAGACCGACTCTTTTTTTTGGGCCTGAAGGGGACTTTCTTTTTTGGTTGAGTGTATATATTCATTACAAAGTGTACTTACACACAAGACCACCGGCAGTATCTCGCAAACACCAACATTGAATCACCAACAAGCCGAAAATCCTCTGCAAATCCAAAAACTTGCAACTCTGCATCGTGTTTTGTATGGACATCAGCCTGCCTTCAACTTACTTCTTCGATGGCCAGAATAAATTGTAGCAAATTTGAGCGTCCAGCAAGCCCGCGTTATCGATCCTCGTACTTATGTAATATTACGTTCTACCCCTCACCGTACCGACGTATTAACACTGTATACTCAGTGTGTTACCTAATATTCAATTTACGTCACCCCGACGCAATTTCAAAGACATGAACGCAAACCTTACTGACCTATATAATTTGTATATGAATTATTCTCGCACTGGTGATTTTTGCTGAATTAAAAGCTTTTCAGCTTTTCTCCTTTTTTTGGAGGGGTGGTTTCAAGCTGTAACCATTAATTAACAAATGCAGTTTCCTTCATCGATTTTGTGTGTGACAATATCACACTCGGCCAGTAAACTTCAATGGATACACATAATTCTTGAAGTCAAGCCAGGCTGAAAACGTTACAGGCAGAAAAGAGTGAACAAAGGGGAGTCCTTCAATAACAAATGCCTTGTTTATTCATTGTTCTCATTTCCAGTCGACACAGTTCTTTTTGCTCCCGACCGTACATATTCTAGGCCAAGGCAAATGCCGTGGTCGACTACGCGTGAAAGATCACTGATCTCTATTACAATGTATACTGACTGGATAGCGCTTCGGGCCGTGGGGATGAGGTCACTGGACGCCAATTTGACACTCATTTTGCCACGTAAAAATATATCTGAAAAGTCATGAAATAAAATTACATATTTGAACTAATATTAACATGAGTAAAATAACACTGTGGGCAAACGGATACGTGCGTTGTTGGGCTTTTGAGGGAGCTTCAAAATGGCCACCGCGTGTGTGGAAGGGCGTCACGGTCTTGTGCACACGCATAATGGTCGAAGCGGTATCCCGATAGAGATCAGTGGGTACTACTGTTGCAACTTTATTCAGATTCGCTGATTAATTAGGCAAGACCCCACCTGACTTCCTAGATTTTGACCCATCGCTTTGTGTTTTCTATATCGGTCTTCGGTCACGCGCTCTGTATCATGCTACGCCATATTGCGCCCGACTGTTGTTGTATTACAAAACACTGCATTCGAATTGACTAATCAAACCATTTACTCCTGATATAGGAATGTAATGACGTCACGATTTAGTAAAATCGACTCTGTTTGGCTGGCGCGTGGCTTGCGTAATATCTGCATGTTTAGACATATCAGACGTCATCAGGAGATTGGCTCGGTCCGTATACTCAGACTAACCCGTACCCAAGGCAAACATAAATATCCTCTGGTTTTATTACCGCCGCCCTGTGCGTAGTCTTTGTAATATGTCATGCATTTGAGCAGATTTGCTGATTAATTATGCAAGATAATCACATATTGACCTCTAGATTCTGACCAATCAGCGGACGCTTTCTATAATGGGTCTTCGGTCATTCACCGTTGTCGCTCCATAGACATTATAACATATAAACAGAGGCTGTGGTCATGCGCTCCGTATTATGTTTCGCGACAAGCGCCCGGCTGGTGTTGTATTACAAAACACTGCATTCGAATTGACCAATCACAGTTTTAGCCCTGATTTGAGAATGAAGTGACGTCACTAATTAGTAAAGTCGACTTCGTATTAATTCACGTTCCCGCTATCTGGTCACAAACTTGTCCAGTGGCGTCACATCACCCCGGGCAGCCAACGCAGACCCGCTCATGAGCAAGTGCACTTGTTGGCATCGGGGCAGACACGAGTATCACGTGATGGCTAATCCAACGCTCCAGTTAGACTGCCCCCCCCCCCTCCCCCAATATATGGGGACCGGTAGCTAGCGCCCATTTAAGGCCATTGATTGGCTCAGCTCTGCGCGCGCGTAGCATGAATGTTTATTTTTGTAATCAATATTGAGCTAACTGTACATGGACTATTTAAAAAAAAGGGAAACAAACAATTTACTCTTGTCTTACCATAGGCACACTGAAAAAAATTGCCTCGGTTAATTTTACCCAAACAAGGATGAAAATTAAAATACCCCAAATTGGGTTGTGATATACCCAATTGTGGTCATACACTACCAGATTTAATTTGGTTGCAGTCATATTAACACACAAACACAATTCCAGCATTTTGGATAATGTTACAACTATTTGAACACCAAAGAAATCGAGGGAATTTTGGATATTTCGCTGTTGTAAATGTTCTTTCTTGGGTGATTCGTTGTTGGGGACAAAATGTGTGTGGCTCTTCATGAAACCGCAAAACTCAGTTTTCGAGATATCTGCCCCTTGCATCATCAATGTTTTTTGAAAATTAATGATGTAATACTTACAGAAACATGTAAAAATGGTTAAATACAATGTTTAAAGCAAAATAGTGAAAAAAAAAATTCAAAATTGAAAAAAATTGTAATTTTTGACAAATGTGGCTGTTCGTGAAACGGTGACGAGAAAGCTCATTAGCAACGTTTTCTCATTTTGTTCAATGCGCAAACTTTTGGGCCCAGCATTTGAAAAAAAAAAACCTTAAGAAACTGAGCACTGTCTACATAAGATGACATCACAGCAACAACACCTACATTTGTTAGGAAAAAAACATGGAAATAACAAATGTTAAAAAATGTGCACGTGTCAAAATGATTAAACAAAAATGGAATGTGAAATAGTTTTCATATATTTCAAAGAAGTGGAAAGATGGACAAAATTATGTTCCCCAGCAAAATTGACGTCATGGACCCTTAACAATCACATCAGAATAAAGGAATATGATGCATAAACAATAGTTCTCTATAAATAATATGGCTATTAAATTGATGCCTAGAAACTACAAACAATATGTAGTTATTTGTAGTTATTTGCAGTAAATGGTAGTGCAGTTTCTATCTTAATAGCTCAATCTATCTATACCCACTTTTACAATTCCATTGCTAAACTGATTGTCAAGTAAAATAAGAAAACTGTTATTACGCAAATTAATTTTAAAAAAACTACACTTTTGGGCTGATAATGTTAAAAAAAACCACTTGAGCAACTATATCAGCAACATGACTTTCTTCATACACACGAAAATAGAACTGGCTTTGGTCGGGACAGTTATTATTGTTTTCTAAAGAGCTAAACTTACTCCATTGAGAAAAAAGTTCACCCAATCAAACTGAAACTATTGACAACACGATGGTGAAATTCATTCAATAATTACTGAATAGATAAATCTTTCTTTAAAGTTTTTGTTGGACTGATTCCCTGTCGGAGTATTTCAATCGGAACGGTTTTCACTCTAAATTGCCTGGTCCCTAAATTTGATCTTAAGACATGTGAGACTTTTGGCCACAGGCTTCGAATAGATAATTATTGCACTGGTACAAAGATCATGAAATCCTCATTCGGGATCTTGTGAATGTCTTGCGCATTCAGGTTGTGGAGATGACACTGCCCAGTCCCCGGCGCGTAGTCGAAGGACACGCACCCGGTGAGCTTGAGGCAGCTAGCGGCGCATCGCTTGGCAGATTTAGCCACGCGAGTCGCTAGTGGACCGGTATTCCCGATCGCTGCTCCCTTGTACATCAGTTCGAAGTTAGCCGAGGTGGCGTTGACGTGCACCGGCACAGGAATTGGATCTGAGATTCAAAGGATATAGGCCATTACTTGCAGAGTTTGTGAAGTAATAATCACAATGTGAAACTGAAAGGCAGTCTCAACGCCAGAGAAATAAGTGACTATAAAGCCGCGTCCGCATTGTAACAAAAAGTAACCCATTGTGGTTACTCACTCGTGCGTCCGCACTTTGGATTGAATTCGGCCAGTAGAAAGTCATTCGTTGTGTTATCCTTACCTTTTATACATGCTCTCTCGGAATCTTATGAGGGCGCCCTGCGATCGAACGATCGAGGCACATAACGCTAACCATCATGGCGGCGTAAATAGTCTGTGCGGTGAACGAGTGACTTTTGCAAAGTTACAGTAGATTGGCACTCTCATAAATGGATGGATAGCTCAAATACTCCAAAACATCAATCAACATTCTAGGTAGGGTTCGGGGCTTACGGGCCCCGGGGAAAAATGATATGGATTCTAGTTGCTCTGTGCATTTGGTGCAATCTAAGGCAATTTCTGACGACTTTAACCATTTTTTTTAGGAAAAGATTTAGGTGTACGCAGTGCCTGTCTTTTTGGCGGCTTCATTTAGATACTAAAAAAACTGGGTTCCTTTTTTTTTGGGGGGGGGGGGTGACATGGCCCCCGTTGCCCCGCCCCCCCCCCCCCTTCCCTTCCCCCCGCGTAGATTCGCCCTTGACTGCCAAGCGGAACACGTACAATCGACGATCGGTACTAGACAGTTTGGACACTGGACTTAATTTGGTTATTAAGTTAACAACAATCTCCGTTAAAAAATCCAGACCAATGCGAACAAGGCTTTAGAAAGACCAGCGGGCATCTAGACAGTCAACCATAAATTGTTCTAAGGAGCGAGCAACCTGGGCAGCCATCTCGCCAGCTTGCAAAATGCGGGAGTCGTAACGACGTCACGCTTTGTTTCGTGTGCACTTTGTTATAGGAGCCAGTTGGGGACGAGAGCCATCTAGCGCCCATACAAAAGTTCACATAAAAACAAAGAGTAACGTTATTTTATTACAGGTCTATAAGAAATGGGAACCTTATCAGTAAAGCAGCCTCCCAACCATCGCTAATCGAGCTGGAAAACGGGCCGCGTTTTTTTTTTCTCTAACGGTTCCAGCATGATGGAAAGAGGGCGCCCTCTATGGATATGCATATTCAAAGCTCACCAGGCTTTTTAAGAACTTCGCTCGTCCACCGCCGCCCTGCAAACAGGACGCTAGGAAGGGCTGATCTCTTTGAGCTCTCATTGGATAGATTCGTCGCAGAGCTGACATACCGGCGAATCGACCATTTTGGCGATTTCGAGATTTTGTTATTTTTAGGGTTTATGAAGGTTGCTCTTTCAAGTAATAATGCCAAAATTCTGAATTTTTGTCTGGATTTTGAGATTCAGAGCCCCCCTTGTGGCGAATCACTCACAAAAACAAATCCATAATTTGACATAGTGCCGAATACGGAATTTCGCTGGTAACCAGCTTATGTAAGGTGTGCGCTCAAAGTACCATCGAATGTTATTCGCCAGTTTGTCGGATTGGCGCGCGTCGGATTCGACAAACTGACGAATAGCTACAAGCAATTCGCTGTTAACCAGCTAATGTAAGGTGTGCGTTCGAAGTACCAACAAAGGTTATTCGTCAGTTTCTCGGATTGCGCGCGCGTGCACGCGTGATCCGAGAAACCGACGAATATCATACAAACAGTGTGAAGAACAACCGGCTATTGGAGATTAATGTGATTTGACAAACTGACGAATACGTTTACGATCAAATAAAATCATATCGTACAACTTCTCTGATTAAATAAGTGACCTGATAGATACTAAGTTTCCTATTTTATTCCGAATACACACTAAAAGGGTTTTTATCGAAACATTAAGGGTAAAATACGGCGCCCAGAAAAACGTCCAACTTCAAACGCGAATTACTCGAAACAAGGTTTTCGCTTATTCGTCGGTTTGTCATCTCTGCGACGGATTGTTCGTGACCTGTGACGAAGCTCATGCATCCCACAAACGCCCTACAGCTGTTTATCATACGTAGTGCGCTAGCTGTATGCGAAGGTCATGATCAGTTACCCATAATGGCTTCCGTACTTCCTTCACAAGAGCGCCCTGTTTGCAGGATGGGTGGTTACGAGCGAATTTGAGAACATGCTATTATATATATATATATATATACGAATAAATGCATACAAATCACCGCCACAAGAGGGCAGAGTCATGGACTGGTTGAAAGGGGACTTGACTATAAAGTTGATATCCGAGTTCGAATAGAGGCCTTTTTCGCAAACTTCTCAATGTACCTTTCAAAAAAGTGAAAAACCATTTCTTACAACACCAAAATCGTATAACAATTATTACAATCTGGAGGTTAATCATCTTTATTCGCAGCTGAGAGGCTGAATGGCGAAGGACATGGCTACAACGTAGTCGAGCCGCTGGCATATAAAGGTGCCTCTGGCAGCCAGCCACATTGACCCATTATATGACCACGGAGACAAAAGCGTTTGATTTTTCCCCTGAGATGAAAGTGTTTGATTTTTTCCGGAGGGAGGAAACCGACCGGAGAAAAACCAACGTGGCACAGGAAAGAACCTTTACCCACATAATGGTCCACAGCCGGGAATCGAACCAGGGCCACGGTGGTGAGAGGCGTGTGCCTATTAAATAAGCGTGTAACTTAGGGCCAACCAGAAAGTCTTACCGGTAGGTACCGGGCACTCTCCGGCTGTAAACTCCTGCACTGTCACCTCTGCAAGCATGAACATAGGATCCGTAGTTGCCGGATTGGAGGCATCGATGTCCAGGCTGACGTAGCGGGCCATCCGTGGTGTGTCGCAAAGGAACGTATTCACGGATCCGGGTGCGGACTGAGCCCGTGTGGCTGGTGCGCCGCATGGTTGGTTCTCGATGATATTGAAGCTCAGGCCTGCTCGAGCTACCGCAGTGATGAAACGATCTTGATCTTGAGGAGAAAAAAATAAGAGAAATTATCATTGATTTAGTAAACCTACTCACATGTGATTTGTTTGTATCGTAATTTTTGAATTTATTAGGGTACGCATTATAAATACTTTCCTGTTTCAAAAAACAGGCCCTATTCTAAACAATTCGTCGTGTGACATGGTATAAGAATGCTTCGTAAATTAAATTAAACAGAATAAGGTGGTTTTATAAACATTGTAAATTCGTATTCAAAACTTTTATCAAGAATTTATGATTTTTATAAAACCAATTTCACTAAATCTGTAGTAAAAAAAAAAGGCATTAAAAGGCAAAATGTCATCCTCGCAGGAAAATTGAAAGCACACAGAAAAAAGCACACCCTAAGCAAATCTAAGCAAAACTTAAATTCATATTAGCTTTTTGTGGGGCGTAGACTAGTCAAGTCCTTTATATGCATATGTGGTATTAGACGTTCATCAGGGAAATTCACAAACTGATAAAGTAATCAGTACAAGTCATCAACGCCACCTTGAAACGAAGGCATGACAATTAATTTGATTGCATTTTTAATGAGATTGGTAAAAAAAGTAGGGGAAGATAGTGATAATTACAACAGCATCCATCCCGGAGGCTGACGGTGATACTTCCCAGGCAGTGCTCGCTTAGCAGGTCCACTTTCCACCAAGGATGCGGATCTCCGGAAACTGCATTAGTGAAACAACATAACCTTGTTAATGAAACAAAATAACAAAAAAAATCTTTTTATTTTCGCGATGTTGCAAAATGCACGTCGGGGAAAATTAATACATTTTGACAATTACATCGCAAAGAGATAACGATTGTGCGGCCATTCCTTTAATCTGTGACTACATATGAAACATGTATTAGCTCTCTTTTCTATAGTCTGACTTGCAATCGTATCTAAGTTGTAAGTTTACACTTTAAATCTCTTTTTAATGAAAATTATGAAAACTAAGACAATATGTATTCAATTGAGAGCAATTATTCGGATTGAAGTAGCTTGCACAAAGTCAGCCCTCCCAACATGCACTCAAGCCACGCCCCTTCTTTAGTACGTGGTCTTACTTGTGTGTGAGAATGTGCTCATGTCTCCATCGAGAGCTAAACTAGCTGGGTAGTTCTCCAGAGGAGTGCTCTCCCATGCTGGTTTGCCCATCACATTTAAAGCTAGAAAGATGAAAACACGGCATCTGTCATCCATTCAAGGTGTGAAGACATTAATGCAAATGCACAAACAATAGACCAATAAATTGCTTTTCACTACGGCATTAAGCAATTTAAGCAGTACATTTGAAAAGCAACGCGGATTACGAAAATATATTCATTTTTGCGCTTATTAGGGCAAAATAATCCACAATAATCAACAAAATGACAAAAATGTGTGAAGAGAAGGCCAAAAAAACCCTAGCTTCAAAGAAACAAATGAAATGTGCCATTTCTGTTTAATTGCACAACCTCTTGTACAGGGTGAGTCAAAAAAGTGGAACCCAAAACCCCAAAATTATATTTCATATTTACAAAAATATGTAGCACCAAATATACACTCTACAAACAACTTAGCAAAGAATATTGACTTGTTTTCCTAGTTAATAAAAATTGAAAAGGATCTAAGTTAAACATGCAAATGTTCATACTATGACTAGAAAAAAGTAGTTAAATTCGACTCAAATTTTAGTTATTTGCAAAACTATTTTTTCAATACCGACTGGAAAAATCTAGTCAGATTGACTGATTTCAGTTGCACCCAGCTGACCCTGAATAGCTAGTCAAATTTAACTGGTTTCTAGCCAGGTGTGACGAATGTTTCTTGGTGTGTAATCATGACTGGAAAGCCAATTTCATAAGCTATTTTTAAATAAAAAAAACAACAATTGTTCAATTCGTTCAAAGAATATCACCGTGGAAACACAATGAATCTAAAACCTCTGTCGTTCAAAAAATGCCATTTCAAGAATCGTCGTCACAACCTTCAAACATCACTAGCAATAAAACCTCAGTTTAAAAGTTAAACATTTCAACAAGGTCTTTTGAAGGCCCGTCTTTAAAACAAAAGTGAATTTTATAAATCATATTGTTTGCTTAACCAGGGTTGTTAATTAAGATATTGTGTACTACGAAAATTTGTTGATAGTTGTTGAAACGAGTTTGCTGTGTTATTTTCTGTATTGCTCCAAACAGTCGGAATACACAATAAACTGTTTTTTTTGGGACAAAAATGTTTTAGAGTTATTGCGTTTAAATGGTAATATTCTTTGAACGGATTAAACAATCTCAGTATTTCAATTTTCATCTAAAAGTAGCTTATGACTGGCTTTCCAGTCGTTATTATGTTTTGTGTTTCCTATGTTTTGAAATATGAAAGATAATTTTTGGGTTTCAAAATGACAGCAATTGTGGACCTTATTGGCGTTGACAATTGCTGTTAATAAAGTGACATGAAATCCATTTTGCTGGCAAACCTCATTTTGTAATCTAAAAATCACATCATATTATTACTAATGTACCACAAATTGATGGCGGACATCTCGGATTTTTCAAAATGTGCCGCCAATTTAAAAACCAATTTGCAAAATGAGTCACGTGACACTGTCACGTGACAAGAGAGATTCACTGATTTTTTTCATGGAAAACAACTTGGACACTAGTCATTATAATCAAATACCCATGGTAACTTTATAGACGGTTATTTTCATTCTCAAATTTTCAGTACGAATACCGATTTATTGTTTAAGTATTGTTTACCCTAACCTAAATCGTACTTAAATTAAACCGAACGTTACCAGTGGTTACCATTCGACATCGGTTTAAATTGAGGTTTAGAAGACAGGCACTAAGTTGTTGCCTCTTTGTACAAGAAATTATATTGCGGGTCGAGTACGTCTATTCCCGCCAGAAAACGTTGGTCATCACAAATACATCGCCCTCAATCTTAAAGTGTCAGAAGTATCACTTGCCTTTTATCTTCACAGCGCAGTCCTTGATTTTTTTTTTTCAAAACAATTTTTCATTTAATTTGTCATTACTATATCACTATTCTTAATCATTATTACTTTTATGTCATTGGATAAGAGTTGATAGGAGAGAAATAACACGTAATCTAGGGGATAAAAAAAAATCCACGCCCCAAATCTGAGTGTTTATTGCAGGTATCTGAAGTAACTCCTGCGGTTGTCCGCACGCCACAGTCTTTATTTCCCGACTGTCAGTGTAAACATCATAATTATCTTGCCATATAAATCTACTATCATTTTAATGTATCATAGTAGGATCACCTGCATTTACTCTAAAAGTAAAAGTAACCTACCGAATATTATCAAAAAGCTTAATTCGATAAAGATAAGAAGATCCTATTGGTATACTAAACACCCCGTGAAATTATTCCGTCAAAACTGAATTAACCACTGATACACCTGATTGCGTCCTTTTTTTATGGTTCTCATATTTTGTTTGCCTCTGAAAAAGGGTCGGTCGGTCGAGAAAAAAACAACAACTAAGAACTGCAGAAATGTTTGTTTTGCACTTGCAACCGTAAAGATGGCTATAATAAATGATGTTAACTGTGTATTTTCTCCATTTTTGCGTTTTGCAATGAGTTTACCATGAGTTGATCACTGAATGAAATAATAAAACAATTTTTAATAAAATGTAATTGACTTACAATATATCTGCCGCGTACAAAGCAGCTCATTAATGTTTTGACTGTAGTTGCAGCCATGACATACCAGTAAAGGTATACTACAGACACCCAATATGATGAGAGGCAACATACTCTCATCTTCTGGGATTCCACTGGTTACTATACGCCGTACCTCGCTAACAGAATCTGTTATTCATTTTATATAGCCTTCCAAATAATACAGAGCCCGATTGCCCGAATTTTGCATTCATTATTATTTTTTTTGCATTTTGTTTTGTTAAATGTATTCCACTGAAGGTCGACGCTGATTAAAAAAATAATGTTTTCTTGGGTCTGGAGCCGAAACCAGGGTCGGTTGGAAATGACAACCATTAAAAAAAGGGACACCCTAATGAAAACCATGCTCCATAAAATGGTTACCATGACACTGGTGGTAACCATTAACATTAATTGCACGAATATCAATGTATTATTTGAATAAGCCCACCAATGACTCAACCTTACAATAGAAAAACCAAACGTTACCAGTGGTTACAGCATCGGTTTAGATTGAGGTTGAATGGACGAGCACTAAGTTATATCTTCTTTACAAAAATTAATAACGCGGGCAAATTACGTCCATTCCCGCCAGAAAACGTAGGTAATTGGCGATAGGATGAGAGTAATGCAGTCATAAATACTACGCCCTAAATCTTAGTGTTTATTACAGATGCGTTTGATGTGCACGCCACGGTCCTTGATGCTACTGTCAGCGTAAACAAAATCAATATCTTGCCATATAAATTCACTGTCATTTAAAGGCATAACAAATATGAGCGTTTGCATTCATACCAAAAGTAACCTACCGAATCATTATGAAAGAGCTTATTTGTGGTGCTATAGACACTCCGTGAAACAATTCCATCTACATGTAGTTTGCTGTCATTTAGAAGAAATCAAGCAATGAAGGTGATTTCCAACGATCAGTCAGTTGAATGATATTTAGAAATATGCCTTGAATGCCGTAGGCACATACCCGTCTCCTTCCAATTCATTAAAAAAAGTGGCAATAAATGGCACAAACTTGAAGCTCTTCACCATGTTTTTTTTTTTACGGACGCCCGACTGCCTTCAACTTACTTCTTCGATGACGAAAATAATCTGTTGCCAACTACTCAGCTAATTTTAGCGTCTGTCCAGCCCACGTGTTCGCCCATTTATCTAGACTATCTCTGTTTTTTTATTTACCTTTTTTTCAGAACAAAACTTCACTAATTGTTAATGTTCTTTTTAAACATTATTAAATGCAGTTTCCTTCGTCGATTTTGGTTGTGACAGTATGGAGGGTACATTTCAATAGGTGCACTTATTAATGCCAGGATTTTGCAGTTAGATAGAAAAAAAAGCCAGATTGACAAAAAGTACGTGTGAACAAAGGTGAACCCGTCATCAGACATGTGCAAACTTCCACCAATTTGTAGAAAGCGAATTGTACATTTCCTAAAAACACATATATTCGCTGTACAAAGGTATGTGAAAGTGGACTAACGAATATCAAACTTGGATTTCAAAATGGCAGCAATTCCAGACATTTATTGGTTAGATAATAATTGGCGTCATTGGTGGCATGAAATCCACATTTGCATAATAATTTTCACATAACCATAGCTAACTATTTATTTGTGTAATTTCATTCTGACTTTCAACCACTGGGTACAACTGATTGCACCACTAAAACAAAACTTATTGCACAAAAATGGTCAGGCCTACCATTACACTGATGGTAACCATACTTAACCAAATACTGAATCCATATAAGCTGTCATATGGTTGCGTAGGCCTAAGCGTCGCCGTTGTTAAACAACGTTCATCAGATTACGTTCTTGAGCGCTAACTTCATGTCAGTGAAAAAATCGCCGTCATCGACGCCGAAAAGTCAATACTGGTTACTGGTAAAACTGGCCTTAAAGTCGGGAAGAAATCGTTCAAAAAGCCCCCAAATCTATGTATTTATCTCAGTTTCTAGGAATCCCCTCAAGTTTCACGAGTAATGGAACACTAATATCATCCGAATTAGTTTATTTTAAATTTCAGCTTAATATGTTGTTGCAAACGCTTGTGTTACACTTTGAACTTTCTCCAAGGACAATTTCGACGAGGAGTTTTTTGACTGACCAAACTCACGTGCATGGTTTTCAGGTTGGCCGATTTTGGGGCAACAATGACGAAGCGCAGAATTAGCATGTTCATTGGCGTGACTCGGCGTGACTTCGTGTGGGTCTCGCTATCGACCAATGGAAGCTGGCCAAAAGGGTTATATGTATACTGCACATTTATACTGCACACCATAATGGATAGGAACCTTATTTATATTATCGTTAGGCTTGAAAAAGATTGACAGATATTGGAAACATCATGTTACAACTTTCAAACTGCACGTAACCAGGCCTATTTGTGCAAAGTACTAAACAAATCAAAACGATTGTTAGCACATAGTTGAATCATTATGAGGGAAACGACAGTTGCATGAAGATGGGTCA